CTGGTTGTCTTTGTGGGTTTGTGGTAGAAAGAGGTGAACTGCTTGGTGGTTTCGATCAAGGATAATCGAGTGTTTTATGCAATAGTCCAATTGAGTTTTTCTCGAGGCGTCCACGTGCTCGCAAGAGTCCGTCTTCGCCTAGAAATGGTGACAGATGTCGAAGTCTGCTGACAGATGTCGAAGACGTATGCGGTTGTTCGGAGAATTCTTGTCCATTTAGAGAATCTGCTGTAGTCGATGAAACTTTGTCTGTCTTTTCGGTGGAAGCTTAAAAAGCTATCACTGGGGTTGTTGCTATTTCATCCATGTGTCCAGTTCGATCGTTGAATTGCAAGGTATCCGTATTGGCGTCGTTCAATTGCAGCTTTGGCCAGTTGCATTCTGGTTCACATCTAAAATTTGGTCTGGTGAACATTCTTGACTTGTTACTGAATTCCGATAGGGGTATTCCACGGGTTCCGTCGTCTGCTGGGTTTAGGGGTCCTGGGCAATGTTTCCATTGACTCCCTTGGGTGCTTTCCAAAATTTCTGCAACTCTGTGAGCCATAAAAATTTGTTGTCGTTTAGCAGATCCCTGTATCCTTTGAAGCGCTTTTGTGCTGTTGGTCCACATATGCGTAGAGCTGATGTCAATCCTTTGTTCTCTGCGAATGAACTTCGCGAGGCGAGCACCAAAAACTGCGGCTTGTAGTTCCAATTTAGTTATTGTGTGTTGTTTTAGAGGAGCCACTCGAGCTTTTCCTAGAACAAAGGCGCTGCTGATTTGTCGAGTGGCACTGTTGCTGTATACAAAATAAGCGACTGCTGCTAGAGCGCTGTAGAAGGCATCTGAAAAAACATGAAGAGCGATGTTGTCGTAGCTGTATCCAAAATAGTGTCGAGGTCTTCCGACTGTCTGTAGATCGTTTCTCTCGTCGAGAAGCTCAAAAAGTTCAGGTATCATTTCTCGTGTAATTTGGTCGTCTCACTTAATTCCTTTTCTCCAAATTGCTTGCTGGATTATTCGTAGTCGAATAGTAATAGGTGCTGCTATTCCAATCGAGTCAAAGATTGAAGAAGCTGCGCGAAGTAGGTTCCGTTGTGTAGGTTTCTTCTGGGCGAGTTCGTGTAATTTGTCAGTAGTGAAGCTGAGTATATCGTTACTTACTCTCCATCGTATTCCGAGAATTCACTGGAAGATTTTGGGGTCCTTGTTTTCGTCTACGGTGATGGATCTATGTTCTTCTGGTATTGTTTGCAGAATTCTATGATCCGTAGTGAGCCACTTTGTCAGGTTGAGGCTTCCTTGTTGTAGTACGTGTCGAAGGTCTTCTATGATTTTCACTGCGGTGTCAATGTAGTCGGTGGCTTCGAAGTCGTCCATGTAGAAGTTCTCGTAGACAAGTTTTTTGATGGCTTTCAGCATTGTCGTCTGCGCAAGTTCTTAATGCGTAAATTACACAAGTAGGAGAACATTTGGCTCCAAAGAAGAATCGAGTGTACTCAAAATATTCGGGTTCTTCCGCTCCCCAGAGGAAACGAAAAAATTTTCTGTCTTCGGGGTTAACAGAAACCTGAATGTACATCCCTTCAATGTCGGCAGTGATGGGTTGCTTTCGTTCGCAAATTCGGGTAATTACTTCTAGTAGATTGCAGAGCAAGTCAGGTCCAGTGAGAAGGATATCATTTAGACAAACTCCTTTAAATTTGGATTTGGCATTGGAAACGCGCCGAAGTTTTCCTGGCTTGTTTGGTTTGATTACGCCATGTTCAGGTAAAATCCATCCTGTCGAAGGTATTTCGTCTGGCTCTAATTTCCGTATGTAGTGCTTGCTGAGATCCTGGCCAATTGTATTCTGGTAGAGAGCAAGCTTTTCTGAATTCTTATTAAGTTGTATTTTCATCCGGTTGTAGTGGGCAATTGTTGTTGGGAAAATTTGAATTTGGTTTCCACAGAAGTCCAAGTTGATAGCGGTTGTCGTATAATGATATGATTTTCCGAAGTGTTTGCATAGCGTGTCTTTCGTCCGATGACATCGTTATTTCAGTTGATGTGGCATAGGTTTCCTTCCATTCGCCAGAATGAAGCGAGAAGATCCGAGATTTGTGTGTCGTCAGGGGATATCTGCATTGGGGTGGCTGTTGCTTGGTGGCTTGAAGTATCCAATGTCGTTGTTCGGTCCTGCTATTGTCCATACTAGGGCTGTAAGGACTGCTCGAGGAACATTTTGATTTCCTTTGATGATGGTCTTCGGGCTGATGATGTCAATATTTTCCGTTCTAATCACAAGGGCTACGTCGTTGTGTTGAAGTCTGGAAAACATATATCCTTAAGGTGGTTGTTTTGGCTGCAGATGTCGGTCAACTTTTCTGGCTCCGCTGCATTCAAGTTGATGTTTTCTTTGATTAAAACATTAGTTAGTTCAAACGCTAAAGTGTTATATCCAAATGAATAAAATGTAAAATCCACTGATTTAGCCTCTATCGTTTGCGAGTTGTAGAAACCTCCAGTTGAAGATATGCTGCTGTCGGTTGCGATATGTAGCTGTTTGTTCTTCCTGTATCAAGAAAGGTATATTAAGGTATACATTAAGGTATATGTTGCGGTGTCGTAATGTTACTGGTAAAAGTAGCAGCAGTGAGCTGTTGACTTTTGATATCTTCTTTTGGCTGGCAAGATGGTTGACTTGATTCGGTCCCTGGTTTGGATTAAACTTTGGTGTTCTTTGTGTTCGTTGTTCGTCGTGTAGAGCTGTGTGATGACGCTGATTGCATTTGCTGCATGTGTGCTTTGATGCAGTATGCTGGGTGTTGACTTGGTCCGTCGAAGGGACATATGGGTCGGGCATTTGTACTCCAATTTTGAGAAGTCTTCTGTGAAGGCTGGTTGGTTGATGGTCGAGATCTGTTGGCGTGTCGAAGTCTTATCGCCATTTGTTGTCGATCGCTCGAGTCCAGGGTCATTTGCTGCGGTTGTATAGGTGGTAAGTGATCGCATGCTAATGCAAACTGTCTTATCCAGTCTTTGAAGGCGATGAGATTAGTCTGGTCGATGTACTGGGCGCTGATGTACTGTGTCCGCTGAAGCTGCTGATGGTGTTGCAATTTTCTGACGGCAAATTGTACGTATATTGTAGAGTTCCCCTAGAGTCTTTTCTTACTTGACTCCTCTGTTTACAGCTTTCGAAAAAGTCTTGTTCATATCATTTGCGATTTTCAGATTGTACATTTTTCTCACTTAGGCCGGTTTTTTTTACATTGTCTCGCCGATTGTACGATTCCAAACATTCAGCTTCCGATAGATTTTGTAGCTTTGAAATTTTCGCTTGATCTGCAACTTTTTTTTCCACCTCAAATTGGAATTTACTTCTGAAGTTCACCATTGCTTCATCGACTAAACGCTTCATTGACTCGTTCATTTCTGAACGGATCGTTTGAATAACCTAAGTTTTAAGTATTTCCATTTTTTTGAGATGGTAGCTTCGATTGACTGGATGATAGTTGATTCAGATTCTTTATTAGGTGGACTCAGCATTATGAAGGGATTTTTTGATATCGGGCCTGTCTTTCTTTTTTCTGCCAGTGCCAAAAGGGGCTTGGTCCTGAAATCTCAATTTGGGCATTTCTTTCAATGGGGACTGTTTCTGTCCGAATCCATTTTCAGTTATCTGAAACTATTCAATATGTTAACCACAACAATTGTTATCGTCATAGTTAACTGTTGAAGCTTCATCTCGACTGAATTGGCATTTTGTGTATGTTTGTTCTTCGGATCTTGTAACAAATATGTTATCGTCATAGTCAACTGTTGAAGCTTGATCTTGACTGCATTGCAGCTGTTGTTCCAGATCTCTACCCTTGCGAGAGCAAGTCTTGTAATCGACTATTAGACTTTTCTGATTTAACCAACTGTTCTTACGAATCTACAAGAAGTTGGATTTCTTGGATTATTTAACCGTAACAACTGTCAGTTTCCTTTCGTTTGTGACGAAATGTAAAGTGGTTGCTTTTACCTTGTTGTTGATTTTTCCTAACTGAACTGGAATTGATCTTTCTTATTCAGTTCAAACTGAAAGATCACTTCCCGATTTTTGTTAAAATTAGCTGGTGAAACATGACCTTTAGTCATTGGTTCGAGCAACTTTGTGCGGGTGATTTACCATATATATTTGATCTGATTTGCTACTGGAATTATCACTCAATTCTCATTAATTCACTCCTTATTAATCAACCGTTTGTCGCTGCAATAACCTTGATAGGTTATGGGCCTAGATGCCCAATCACGAGTGAGAAGTCAGGAGTCAAGATTGACTGTTTGTTCAAACGAATAGGGAAAAAAAGCTGAGATTTGCAGTGGAGTTGTGACAGTGAAAATCACAACTTGAAATATACAACTGATCAGTTAGACAACTGCGAGAGAAGCAGGCCAAAACTACTTGGAGATAGACGATTGATCAGACAGAGAAGTGCAAAGATAGAAGAAGGGCAACACAACTAGTAGAGACAGGCAACTTTGAAGACAGAAGCAGGGCAGCACAACTTCTAGAGATGGACAACTCTGACGATAGAAGCAGGGAAACACAACAGAGAAGAAGAGAAGACGGTCAAAAGCTACACGAAGGGGCACTGAGTGAGCACAGAAGTGGAAGAAGCACTACACTATTGATAGTGAAACAAACTGATAAATTACATGTTTTATTTGTAAAAGTTGCTGATTTATACTCAATTTTTGCGGAAGGATAAATTCGTTCGTACGCGGTTGCTCGAATCCGACACAAAATCAATCCAAAGAATCCATTGCAATTAAAAGAAAAAAAAACTGATACCCCAGAATAAAAAGACGAATTTCTATTTTGCTAATATATATATTACCTAGTATGAAATCTGAGGAGGCACCTTAGCTTTGCTAAGTCGCTGATGTGTTATTCAGTACGCACCCCGTTAGGTTCCAAATCAGATTTAGGTAATCAAATATACTTGCATAGTTATATAAGGGGGCGATATTGATGCATATTATAAGTATGACTTTGATGTAAGTGAAAACGGGGTCATTGAACTTTACCTAGGGCAATACTTAATTTTTTGAGTTTTGGATTGGAGCTTATTTTTTTGTGTGAGAATTAAGTCGAAAATAAGAACTTGGATTAGGAAAGAAATGTCGAAAACTGATAGGATAGTTTTTTCGGGAAAAGAAGAAGATTTTTCCTACTTTGAAGAGCAATTCGAGGCACGAATTTTTCACTTGAAGTTAAACAAGATTTTAGATGAGACAGTTGATTATAGAAATTTTATGCCAAGTTAAAGACTGAATGCAAGCAGTGATCAAAAACAAGCTGCGATAGATAAAGGAAAAGAGATCTTTGAAGAAAAACAGTTGCATATTTGGTACGAACTTGTGCAGGCTCTAGATAAGAAATCAGTTTTGTTTTTAAGACCTTATAAAGGCAATGGTAGCAAAGCTTGGGAGGCTGCAAAAACTAATCTCCGAACTTAAAACTTTGAAAAAGAATAGCAATGAAACAGTGATAGATTGTTTGACTAGAGCAGAGGAGATTCAGTATAACTTAGAACAAGTGAACGAAGGAGTGAGTGAAAAAATGTTAATTTTAGTTATTTTGAAAGGACTTCCAAAACAATTTGAAACTTTTTCTACTATAGCTAAGTTTAGTAGAGATGAGAAAAGTTTAGGTGAGTTGAAAAGAGATTTAGTGAATTTTGATAGCGAGAGACAAATAATCGAAAAAGAGCATGCTTTTAATAGCGAGAACAGAGTTTGTTTCAAGTGTCATAAAAGAGGACATTTGTCGAAACAGTGCAGAGAAAACTTAAGCAGCAGACGAGATAGTGAAGATAGAGCTCGAAAAATTCAGTGCTATGAGTGCAAGGAGTTTGGACATATTGCAAAATATTGCCAAGCAAAGAAGAAGTTCATTAGTAAGACTAAACGAGAACAGCAGAAATTAGTAGCTGAAACAGAGGCTCATTTTAGTTTTCTGAGTGGAGTGTCTCCGGGCGTGGACTTAGTTGTAGACTCTGGAGCTACCAGTAATATGATTAAGGATCGAGACATGTTTGTTAGTTTAGATGAGAACTTCAAAGGATCGGTTAGCAATGCAAATTTCTCTGAATCAAAAAATTTAGGGAAAGGTGAAGTTAGATTCAGAGTGAAAGATGAGAAAGGCGAGTTTAAGATGATTGAGCATAAGGATACTTTGTACGTTCCTGAAAATTCAAGAAATTTGCTGAGTGTATCAAAAATGAAGAAAGCAGGAGCAGAAGTTGTTTTTGGTGCGAGCTCGTTTGTTCGCCAGGGAAATTGATCAGTTTACCCATTAAGAGAGGAAAGTGGTCTCTTTTTATGGGACACTTTTGTAGGAAAAGACTGTTGTTATGTAGTAAGCACATTGAAACAGTGGCATTGCAGGATGGGTCATATTAACTACAAAGATTTAAATCATTTGGAGCAACATGTTGAAGGCATGAAGATTAGTGATTTTAAAATTGAGAATTGTGAAACTTGTGAGTTGAATAAAGCAAAAAAGAAGCCAGTCCCGAAAGATTTTTATACCAGGGCAACCAGGACACTTGATTTTGAATCACACAGATATTTTAGGTCCTATCGACCCGCTAGCAGAGGATGGACATAGATATGCTATAGGTTTTGTGGACAGTTTTTCTAGATATCTGAAAATTTATTTCATGAAGACGACAGATGAGGCAACAGAAATATTGGAAAGGTTCATTGCAGACATAGGAGTCCCTCAGACTTTAGTTTCAGACGGCGCAGGAGAGGACATTGGTCAAGATTTTAGGCGAGTTTGTAGGAAACAAAAAATTAGACTGGAAACATCGGCTCCTTATACCCCTCAAGAGAACAAAAAGATAGAAAGGTTGTGGGGAACAATTACTCCAATGGCTCGCTGCATGATTTTTGATGCGAATTTATCGAAAACTTATTGGCCTTATGCTCTTAATATGGCTGCTAATCTCAAAAATATGTGCTTTCATTCTGCTATAGGCAAAAAACCCTACGACTCAATGTATGGAGAAAAACCCAAACTTAATTTTGTGAAAACTTTTGGGTGTGTAGCGTATAGTTTTGTGGAAAAACAGTTTCGCAAAAAAACTAGACAAAAACTCTAGCAGGGGAATTTTTCTGGGGACATCGGAAATTAGTAAAGCTTATCTGATAGGAATTGAGAGTGAAGGAAAACTCAAAGTGCAAAAGTCTAGAAACGTTAGTTTTGACGAATCTAAGTTCTACTTTGAGAAAAAGATAGAACGTGACGAAGGAGAAAGAGTAGGTGATGTAGTATTTTTTGGAGAAATTCTCGAAAATATTTCGAAAAGTGCTAAGGAAGCTTTAGCAGACCCTGACTGGCAAGAAGCAATGAAAAAAAAGTTTCATTCATTAGAGAAAAACAAAGTTTGGGAATTAGTTAGAAATAGAGGAGAGAAGCCTATAGGCAGCAGATGGCATTTTGCTTTGAAGTACGGACCTAATGGTGAAATTTCCAGGTTTAAGGCTAGGTTTGTTGCTAAAGGTTTTAGCCAAGTTGAGGGAAGGGATTTTCACGAAACGTATTCGCCTACAGCCAAGATGTCGACCATAAGAATAGTCCTCAGCTTAGCAGTTCAAAATAGGTATCAGTTGAGACAGTTAGACATTAAAACTGCATACTTGAATGCCAAACTAGATGAAGAAATTCTTATGAAGCAACCTGAAGGGTTCGAGAAGTTTGATGAAGAAGGAAAACCTTTAGTTTGTCTTCTGAAGAAAAGTCTTTATGGACTGAAGCATAGGACTCTAAAAAGCTATCTTGAGGAATTAGGTTTTGAAAATTCAGTTTTTGATGAGTGCTTGTTTGTTGAGAGGATTGAGGGAGAGATAGAAGGTTTAATTTGCTTGTGGGTCGATGATATAGTGGTTTGTGGAGCAGACAAAAATTTCTGTAGCTGGTTTGAAAGCAATATCTCTGAAAAATTTGAGATAAGTGATCTTAAATGGTTCTTAGGAATGAAAATTGATTACTGAGGAAACGAAATTAGGATAAGCCAGGAGAAATATGTTGAAAAATTGATATCAAGATTTAGGATGAACGAAGCAAAGCCGATAACGACCCCTATTGGTGAAAACGAAAAATTAACAAAAGAAGGTTGTCCTTTAGAAGGTAGCATAGAACAAGAAAATATGAAAAAATGTGACTATCGAGGACTTGTTGGTTGTCTAAATTACCTAGCTTTATCAAGTAGACCCGACATTTGCTTTGCAGCAAATCTTCTAAGTTCTTTTGTGGAAAACCCAGGTGAAAAGCATTGGAAAGCCGGAAAAAATTGTCTTAGTTATCTGCTAGGAACAAAAAGTTTACCTTTAATATACAGGAGGGATAAGGCCTTGAATCTTGTTAGCTATTCGGATGCGGACTGGGCTGGAAATATAGACAATAGGAGAAGTACCTCAGGATATTGTTTTAAACTCAGTGACAACTCAGGTGTAATCAGTTGGTCTAGCAGACTTCAGCGTTGTGTATCAACTTCAACAGCCGAAGCAGAACACAATGCTGTGGTCGAAACAGTAAAGGAAGTAATTCATTTACAGGGCATACTTAGCGACTTAGGCATAATTTTTAATAGGCTTTTAGAAGTTTTCGTTGATAACCAAGCTTGTATTGCCCTTAGTTAACACTCAATGAACCACGGCAAGACAAAGCATTTTGCCATAAAACTACACTTCCTTCGAGAGTTAGTTGAACAGAAGAAGATGACATTAACCTTTTTATCAACAGCAAACATGCCTGCAGACGCATTGACGAAAAACTTGGGAAAGTGCAAAACTGCATTTTTCCGAGACATTCTACTAGGAACACCTAATTTGAAAGGCGGGGTATTGGTGATTTTTCCTAAGTGAACTGGAATTGATCTTTCTTATTCAGTTCAAACTGAAAGATCACTTCCCGATTTTTGTTAAAATTAGCTGGTGAAACATGACCTTTAGTCATTGGTTCGAGCAACTTTGTGCGGGTGATTTACCATATATATTTGATCTGATTTGCTATTGGAATTATCACTCAAATCTCATTAATTCACTCCTTATTAATCAACCGTTTGTCGCTGCAATAACCTTGATATACCTAATGGTATAGGGTTTGAGTCCCAGTTGGTTAGTATTTTTTCGGGAAAAAAGATTTGTCGGAATTTCGTTCGTCTGCTTATTTGTGAGTTGAATTTTTAAAGCATGGAATAATTTTCTCAATGTTAACTTTGCTTGACAGTCGTCCTGGTACTTTATCAATTGACTAACTCGAATTTTGATCAAGTTTTTCATAATTTTTTTTCGGCTCAATGGTTTCAGCTTGGTTTTAAGTTTATCGGCTTTGTAACTTGTTTTGTGTCGTTTGAAGGAAAAGAAGATCGTTATGTTTTTTAATGATTCAGGACGATCGTGGTTTCAGTGATGGTAATTTTAGTAAATTTAGTTCCAAGGAGTCCGGATCGGCGGACAAATCCAAATCTACCGATAATTCAAATTCTCGAGGCACCCCTCGTTCCCGATCAAAAAGCATAGCCAATATCCAAAGCGAGACTTCATTCAAGACAAGAATTAATAGCACCCGAAAACCAAAGTGCTGCTGTGTTAAGGCGAAACACAGATTTAAGGGATCAATCAAAATTGAGACTCCTTGAATAAATTAGATCCTTTCTACATTTTTTGCAATCTTTTGTTACATCGGTAATCAGAGAATAGAAAATTTTTTTTTTTTTGTACTGAATAGGCCAAAATTTGATTGATCTGTCGGTTAAAGAGTCAGAAGATGGCTGGCTGGAGACCGATATATCAGAAAAGATGGATCCAGCCATTGTTTTTGGCGGTGGGCCTTTCGTACATTTGTGTGGCAGTTGTGCTTCTCATTTTTGCTGGAAGTGTGCAAGAGCTTAGCTTTGATTACACAGGTAGCATATATTCGTCAAAAGTAAGACAATCTGATTTTTTGTTATTTTAATTGCATACTCTCCTTATTTTGCGTCGTTTCAGCTCGTAAGTTTCCGACTTTAATCTTCAATAAATTTGACGCTATAAATTTTGTTCCTTCAATGAAGGCAAGTTTATTCTGGGAAAAAGTTACACTATAGCACACAAAAAATTGGCTTAAATCACAAAGCAGTTGCAGATTTAATTTAGATTGCGTGAAGTTCGATTTGAGCAGCAATGGAAATGTGGACACTAATGGAACAGCTGGAAAGATGTGCAAAGATATTGTTCTCCAGCCAGGATTCAACTCCTCCGATCCAGGTGCGTGAAACTGAAGATACCCGATCATTTATTTCTAGGTCTGAAATCGGTTATGTTAAGTTGTTTATTTTTATTGGTATGTCTGTATCGCATTGCCATTCACAATTTGTGACCTCCGTTTTCATGACTTCCGTAAAATTGGTCATAGTATACATAATGGTCGGATAGTGAAGAAGAAGAAAAGAAGAAGAATTAATTTCTTGCTGTTATGTATGTTTTAAGCAGATGAATTATTTGTAAATACATAGTAACAAAGGACGGCTAAAGCACCCATAAGGGTTGCCGAATGCTGCCCTGAATTTAAATGAAATCAATTAAGATACACCAGATAATAAAATTTAAGTACAAAACGATCAAGGCTAAATGCAATAAAAAAACATACCTTAAAATCAATTTGTGAATGCTTTTTGTGCTCAAAACTTTATGAACTCGCTAGTCGTAGGCACCTCTAACCGGTTTCATTACGCAACCTTGCCATTGTTCACTTAGGGCTTCCTGCTTCTCTTAACTTCCATAGAGCTCCTGTAACATCAATACAATGAATAGGGGCTTACGAGTCAGTAGACATCCAACTGAGCCCATGAGGCAGTAACCAGTGAACATATCCAAGTTGAGGCTTTCATTGCCTAAACCAATTTTAAAGCCCACATCACAATTATATAAAACCTCGGCAGCAGAATTTTGCGTTTGAGCTGATATAATAAAGTTGTAGTTTTTAATTTAAATCACTAAAAGTTTATATTGTTCTGATTTTCATTGCCGAAGTGAGTTTTGTTCAAACGAATTTTAAAGCTTTGTTGCCGGTTACTAAGTGAACATTGTTGCACTTTGCCTTTCAGTTTAGTCATTTTTGTCAAATTTAAAATTTCCTTTCAAGTTTTGAACGAAGGCGCAAAACGATTTTTGAAATTTAATACTTATAGAGCTCGTGAACTGTTAAAGTATTTTCATCAAGGAATACATTTCGTATGCTTTTAAATTTCTTTGAAATTAAATCAACCGAATATTTTTTCTTGTATTATCATATGGGGCAACAGATATGTAAAATAAGTGCAACTTTGCCCTAGAACACCGTATTGCGGTTATGGTTTGGAATTATAGCTATAGCTTTTGAGTTAAACATTTTTAGGAACATGATGACGCATTTTGGAAACGATACCACATTGTTTTCTAAGCTTAGTTCGAACGAACCAAGATGAACAGTAAAATAACTTGGCCTCTTTAAAGAATTCGAAATATTTGCAAGATGAAGCACGTTGTAAGGATATGTTTTTGATTGGGAAGCGCTAGTGGAAGATACACTAACTTAATTATTTATCTATTTTTAGAGACAATTAAATAATTACTAACCAATTGCTGACAGCTTCTGAGTCTTAATTGAATTTTTCAACGGAGCAATTTAATTTACTTAGGTTGGTGCTGTCTGCAAACAAAAAAAAACTTCACTAAAAGGTCAGATTTTTGGAAAGTCGTTGGTGTACACCAGAAACAAAATTGGGCCTAAAATAGAACCTCGAGGAACGCCAAACTTGTTGCTCTGGTTTCTGCAACTTTTTTTGATGCTCCAATTAGCTTATTAACTTGTTCAAACTAATCCAGTTACGCCCTACATATCAAAATTTCGAGAAAAAAAAATGTTGTCGAAGGTTGTCGAAAGCTTTATTTCAGATCAAGAAAAACGGTTTCTTTTTTTTACAGTTTTGCTAAAATCCAAGTGAGTTTTTTTAGTTACTTTTGCAATTGCACCAACGGTGCTGTAATTTTTGAGGGAATGAAAATGTTGGAAATAATTCAGTTAGTTAATTTTCAAGTGATTGTATACTATGTGTGATCGCATGCAAAAACTTGATCAATTCCACGCGTGATTGAAAAATTTTGCAAGGTTTAGTATGTTCCTGGTTATCTTTTTCCCAATCTAGGTTTAAAAATTTTAAACTCATTTGCAATGGCCAATTCATCAGTTAATGATTCGCGGATAATTGAATTAATGGCAACAATTTGTTTCTTGGCGGTTGTTTTTTTTTCGTTAAATTCCTTTACAAGTGTTTAGTTGCCTTGAGTAACCAATACCTTTATTGATACTATCATAGTAAAAGTACTTATACGTTTCCTCAATTCAGTTGCGGTTTTACTTAGTTTGACTTTCAAGTTTACTTCTGAGGGAGAGTTGAAGATCGGCATTATCCAAAAAGTTTCATTATTAACCTTAACTAAAACAGAAATTTTTCCTGTCAATTTCAAAGCATGTTCTTCAATGACAGTTACGTTATTCTTCTATTGCATCATGACTCCTCCTCCCAAGCCTTTTCTAGATTTGTAAATTATAGTATTATCTAAATACTTTTAACCGGTAGCTGTTGCAGTCATAACAGTCCTTCAACCGTTTTTCATTTCCGCGAATTATTTCAGTTGGCGAATCAATGCTATGTATAAGTGCTTCCTACTCATCATAGTGTTTTCCCATTCCAACTCATCGTGGTGCTTTTGCATTGACCGTACATGGATGTAAATGAAAGTTTTCAGCAATTTTTAGTTTAGAAGTTTTTAACGGTTTTGAATATCGCTGCTCTTATTTCGCAAAAAAAAGCTTTCATTGTCCTCTCTATTGTGTTTTTAAGCTTCTTTCCTTCTTAAAAAAGCCGTTTTATTCAATTAATAATGTTGTCTTTTTTAAATTTGAAGTAGGTGTTGCCCTCATGTGTTCATTCCACTCTGATTCCATCCTTGAGTCTTGGTCTAACGCGGAGCCGTTAGATTTTCAAAAATTTTCAGGATTGATTCAGATTTCGCTTCCTACGAAGAGTCCTTTTTTGGCTGCTCGTCTAACCGCACTATCATTGGTGGGGAGTTTTCATTTCGACCTAGTAATTTATGAGCTCTAGAAATGTCGGTCTTGATCTCAATTTCAGCTCCAGCTTCTCTTGCGACATTGCGTACTTTGTCGGTAGCCTTCTAAATTTCTCCGTCCATTTTCTCGTTCACAGCGTTCTTCCGGGGTTCAATGATTCTTTCATTATCCTATCGGTTTTACCTTTATAAGTTCAGCTTCTGACACCGCTTTAGCCTACAGCTCTATTGTTTGTTTTGTCTCCTCTTAAACTGATTCCTTGACATCTTTCAGGACCTGATTTGATATGGATTTGGAGAGAGCACTCAATGTTAGTCCTAATTTGGGATTTGGGATAATTGGGATTTGCTTCTCCAAAATTGTTTCAAATCTTGGCTTTTTTTTGATACTGAAGCTTGGCATGTAGTTTGAGGCGTTTTAGCTTCTAGGTGCATGTGCATGCAGACATTCACTGTGCGTAAAAAGCAGTTCAAGAAAGAAGTGAAGATCTATTATGGACTCATGGACTTTCTAGTGGACCATAGACGCATGCTCATGTCACGTGACGATATGCAGCTAAGAGGCACAACTGTGAGTGTGGTCAACACGGATCTCTGCTTCCCCTATGACAAGGCATACGATGCAATAGCAAGTACATTTTACTCCGCACACAACTGTATACATTACATGCTTATTGCCTCTATCAATATATCTTCAATTTTATCAGCTTATAATAGTTTTTAAGAGTTACGAACGTAGTGAATACTCTTATATAGGTTTTGGTGATTATTTGTTTAATTTTTTCAGGAAAAAGTTATAAATTTGGTTTCACGCTCGTTTGATTTTTCGCTTTTTAACTTTTGATTTCTTTTCAAATTCAGTTCAATTCTTTTGTTAAAAGGACGGCAAACTCCATCAAAAAAGCGGCCATAATTTTTTTTGAATTTCAAAGAGATTTAAGGCCATCTATTTTTTCTTTGAAAATCTGAATCGAAGTATTGACAAGTAAAAATGAAAAATGAAAAATGAAATGAAAATGAAATATGAAAGGAAACAATCTATTCCAGTCAAGCACTTTACCAGTTAAACTATGGTTGGAAAAGAGTTTTCTCTCCATTAGGTAGTTTGATATTTATCATGTAGCTATTTCGTTTAATGAAAACTAGCTCTTTTTGTTTGACCTAGTTCCGTTTACTGTCTGTGAAAGTGTGTGGGTGGTTATTAATTGAATGTGAAGTTAGTATGTGATGTGATGTGTGGTGTTGTGTGTGTGTGTGTGTGTGTGGTAGAGAAGGAGTTGCCGATTGTTCCGTGTGGTGCTCTGGCCAACAGTCTCTTCAATGACTCCATCTCTCTCTACTATAATGGACACTCCTCTATTCACACACCATCATCATCTTCACTCGAACACAGTGAGCAGAGTGATGGCCAATCATTTAATTCTACTTCTGCCGGGAGAGGAGCGGTAGGAGTGAGGAAGAAGATAAGGAGTGAACAAGTTGTGCCTCTCAAAAAGACTGGCATCTGCGACAGGGTGGACAAACAGTTCAGGTTCAACAATCCACCAGGTCAAGCCAAACTTCAACCACTCAATCAGCGTTCAGTTGAAGCGTATTGCTGTTTAAAAGTGATTGCGATGAAAGGTTTTGAGAAATGATTTCATTTTGATGTAGACTGCTGATCCAAAGTCTTTAACTTATTCTTCCCTGTCCAAATCCAAAACGAATTTCGTTTTTGCTCAACAATTCAACCCGAGTATAGATTTCAAGCAACATTTGAGCAATTTGAGCGTTTTACGCTCCAAATATTGCTTCATATTGAGCGGTTTTTTTCAAAGAAAAAACGAGCGGTTTTTGAACTATTTTTTCGAAACCATCGCTCGAGAACCGTTTAAATCTTGTGCGATTTTGAGCCATGTTTCAAAATTAACCGTTAAAATCTTGGGCGGGGTATTAGTCAAAGCAATTTAAAGCCTTTCATCTAAAAAACGCTCAGACGATCTTTCCGAAGCAAGATTTTGAGCGTAATCGGGTAAAAAACTGCAAAAACCACCCAAATCTTGATTGAGGAATGTAATAATAAAATCGAAAAAAATTTCGGAAACTGATTTTTTATTGGATTTTCTGCTTGCCCTTTAGTGTCGATGAAAATGTTTTAGATTCGAAAAAACTGTTGGAAATGTGAGAACAAAAGGTTAAAAAGTTATTTTTTTCTTCAATTTTATCAGTTTTTGTTGGCTAAGTTTCAGCTGTAATTAAGAGTGTTAGAGAAATTTTAGTGAAATAAGTTTGTTTTGTATTTTACAGGAAGGGGAAGTTTGAAGGATCGCTTCAAAGGAACGACTAAGCCGCCCAACTGGACCAAATACATCTACGAGTTGGATCCCAACAACACGGACAACAACGGACTCAAAAACGAAGACTTGATAGCTTGGATGAAAATTCCAACCACCAAAAACTTCCGCAAACTGTATCGAATCGTGGACCACGAGAAGGGCGGGAGGAAGTTTGCAGACGATTTGCCACAAGGATCCTACTCTTTTCTCATTGAGTACAATTACCCGGTCACTATGTTTGGAGGTCGCAAGCTCCTTCTCATCAAAAGCGGAGGCACCGCAATGTTGGCTGAATACAACTTCATAGTCGGCTTCATGTTTCTGTCGACCGGAGTTCTGGTTTTATTTGGATCACTAGTCATGTTTCTTGTGGGTAAAAAGTATTCAAAGATGAGGGGAATTCTGAAAAAGGACCCAAATCCGGCCGAACTGCAGGCTAAAAACTTCAACACTATCAAAAACTTGCTGACAAATGTGAACAAAAACTGATTTCTTTTCGCGTTCAACTTTTGAAGAAGCCATTTTTTGGTATTTAATTTAATAGTTTTTTTTTGCTGAGGTAATTATGTAATTTACAACAACGAATTTAGTACTTTTGTTTTAAAGAGAACAAGGGTAGCCAGTTGCTGTGCAAGTGGTATAGAATGTTCCGACCTCGGTGAGTGATAGGGGTTTGATGGTTAGCATTTTTATTGGGTAGTAATGAATTCGAACTAAACCAGTGTACGATTTATTTTAATAGATGCATATTACTAGATGCGTAAAGACGAAAGTGCCAAAATTATCTCAAATTTGAAGAGCCGGAACAAAGCAGAGGCAGATAGAATGTAGGAGAAACATGAATTCCTAATAACATATTTGCCTGTTTTTGACAAATTGACAATATTTTACGGATGCTCACTAAATAGAAAACAATTAATAAAATGAGATACTGTTTTGATACGTAATTAAATTTACATTAATATATCAACATTAGTTTACAAGATGGGGGAACTTGACGTCTCAAAGATTCTGCCTGAAGCCTATTTTTTTTAATAGTTTTTCGAGCTTTGAGGGGTAAGCAGTTCCGCTTCTTACGCGTCTTAAGGATGTTCAGATTAGCGCTATAACGCCTTAGAAGGAGGAGAGTCTTTAACTCAAGGGAAAGAGTCTGGTGAAGCTCTTTGTACTTCTCAATTAGTACCTGGTCCTAAGCCTTACGGTTAGAGATAAAGTCTATGACGATGTTCAGAACGATAATACCTGTTGAAACTAAACTACAGTATACGATCGCACAAATGTTTGTCCTATACCTTAATAACAAACTGACAAGTTGCTCACTACTCAGCTTGCAGTTATTGTTGCTGCGGTGCCTATTTATTGAGTTATTAATGGCGTCGTGCCAAATTACAAGGTCGTTGCGTTAAGACAAGTAGTGATGAAGGTAATACTGTATTGTTTTCTGAGAGTCCTTAGCGTTAAAGTTCAAACTTAAACCTGGCTTTGTACAGCAAGTATCTTTTACGCGCTTCTGGGACGGAGCGGGAAGTTTTCGGAGCGCGTGATCCAAGGAACTTGCTCCTAGAATGAATACCATATTTTTAAGGGACCTATGCGACGGCTACGTTACGCTTAAATACCAATGGGGTTGGAAAATAAGTAGGTCGATTGAACTCCAACAACACACGGAGTAAACCTGAGGATGAAAGAAATCAACTTAACCCACTTAATATTTTCTTAATATTACCGTACCTGACCACTTAACATTAGTGGCACGCAACGAAGTCAATAATCGGACGGGCAAAAACAGCTTTGATACACTTGAAGAGAACTGGCTTTCAGTTTCACCAAAGGTGGGTAGGGTTTCAGGCAAATTGGTTAAGTTCCAACAACACACGCGGAAGAAACCTGAGGATGAAAAAACTCAACTTATTTTGCCTGATATTTCGCTACCAGAACACGTAACATAAAGTTGGTGTCATCTTACAGCACAGTTTCGCAAAATTCTGGGGACGTTTTGAAGATTTTTAGGAAATTTTTTTTTACTTTTTTCACAAAATTTTTCAGAAAATTTTGATCATTGTGTTCGAGTCATAAACCAATCAAAAAAACTAATCCAGTACTTTTTGTCTATGTTCCAATTTCACGGATTAATTTTCCGTTCACATATATTCAAAAAATTTCGGTATCGAGAAAAAATGTCAAGCAGTTTGTCTATGTACCGATTGTAAAATATTTCAGTTCATCGGAACTGTCCAATTTTTTGTTTGAGAAAAATTACCGGGTGCTAGCTTGCCGGAAAAATTTCAACATGTACGGCATCGTAAATAAATTTATAGCACGAATGAAGAGTTTTGAAAATTTTGGAACCTTCTTACAGTTATGGAGATTGTGTGGTCACCGGTTTTGGGTTGTCAAGCCTTCGGTCGGTCGCAGAAAAATTGTTCAGCAATCACTGCTCTAGCTTACACAAAACCTCTGCAGTTGACTTGTACTCGCACAATACGTGTGTTGTTGACAGTCAGGATCTGTAATCTAGCTGACCGATTTTCCGTCGCTTTCGGTAATTGAGTCCCAGTTCCGGGTGCTTACGACAAGTTGTGAACTGATTTAGATGCGTGTTTATATAACATTCTCCGTCCTTTATCGTACAAAACGGCAAAATTCAGATAAAGGAACACACAAAAATGCCAATTGTCCCTTGTGGGGCGCCAAAATGTGCGCCTTATCTCCGTAAGTTAGCAAATATGAAGGTTCAAAAGTTTAAATTAATGAGAGCATTTTTCGGCAAAAACTCTCGCAAACTCATCATAATTTCGGTCGAGCATAACATGTATAACTTCATTAAAATTGCCCCGAAAAGGTACAAATCGGCGCAAGCTAGCCACAAGAACCGGTAATAATGTCCTTGATTGGACTAATCAGTCCGTATGTAAAAATTGACATACGGACTGATTAGGCTATGACAAACATTTCTGGTCCTCTTAACAAACCTTGTAAAATCACTCGTTACACCATAAAATTCATTTTTGTGTGAGGTGGGGGAGGGGGAATAAAGAGCCGAAAAATTCCCCTACAATAGCAGCAACTCAAAAAAATGTCGTTTTTTCGAAAAAATCATATTTTTGATTTTCTGACCGTTTTTTTAATATTTTTTACGCTTGCGATTTTAGCAAGAGTTATCAAATGGGAATTTAGACTTTTTTCGGGTTAACAACTAGTTTAACAAAATTCATTAAAAAATTTCTTGAAAAAAGCGGTTGAGTTTTTGAATTCGTGGTTTTAGGTCTAGTTTACGTCGGCTCATTTTCTATTTTTGTTAATGGCCTTTATTTTCTCTTGTAATAATGTTTATCAGCATGCTTTGTAAAACGGATTTTATTTTGATTTTGAAAGTTCTGTAACTTGTCATTTTTCCAAGACCGTTTTCGAATAATTTTGTTTTTTAAAAGTTTTTTTTTCGACTGAAGTTTTTGCATAGGTTGTATCGGCTCAGTCAATATTTCTTAGTTTCGAAGGGCGAAAAATTCCTGTTAAATTTCAGTCTAAAATTAAATTGCGTAAAAGAGATCAACTCTTTTTACGTAGTTGGGGAGGCAGTTTAAAGCCTCACGTTTGTGGCGTTTCAAGAGGGATGAATTTCAACTTTGGATTCAAAACTTTTCAGCTCTAACTTAAATATGAAAACAATTTTGCCGACCCAAATTTTGTCGACTTGATTGCCGCTTAGTAAAAGATAGAGCATTAATGCTTGCCTAGATGTAAGTTTGTTTCAACATTTTTTTCCTGTAATTTTCAACTTATTTTGTTTTTCAAATGATGTTTTCCGATTTCTTTTTTTTCGGTTAACATGATTATAATGCATTGTTTTAGTTGCATTTTAGCTCCGCTTCGCCTCTATGTGAAAACTGCCATGCGGGTCATTTACCGAATTTGAGTTAAAACCACAATTTGTCCTGATATCCGTTTTGAAAAATCAACAGTTACCCCGTAAAATACATGTTAATATCTGGTGGGTGTAGTTTTGGTTGGGTGGTGGTTTGGGTTCGAAAAGCCTCAATCTAAGGGTGAAAGTGTTTGGAAAGGGAGTCTAATCTGTGTTTGATTTTGTAAATATGATGAAGTTATTTGAACACGTGTATGAAAAGAGAATTTGTTGACCCGAATGGCAGTGATAGCAGGATACAACGTGCTTATTTAAGAGTCAGCTGTCAACCTTTGACAACATTGTTGACCATATTCTTCCGAAGGCAAACAAAGCCAAGCTGCTTCCAGCTGAGAAAACTAAGAATTTTTGAACCCACCTGCTGCACCAGACTAAGAAGGCGATTACGTCGGCATCGCCATTACGTCACTGAGGCGACTGCAGCGACCAGAGGAGGCCTGCGATGAACAGTAACTTATGGGGTCCCCCCGACCGCAGGGCTCACATGAACCACAGGTCCTCCAGTATGCCGGCTGGTGGTGGGGGTGGGGCCTTCCAGATGAATTCTCTCGGGGGTTCTCCCATGATGGGGACAGGGGGGATGGGCATGGGTGGCATGGGTGGAGGCGGTACTGGAGGGGGGATCCCTATGCAGAGTACTCAGTTCCGATCAGGCGATGGACCATCTATGAGTGGTTTTGGACCAAGGTTTCCTCACAGTTCCTTTCTATTTAAGCGTTTCGTTAAATTTAATCCTCGTCTTTTTTTCCAGTTTCCCGCCCCTTTCGTAAAATCACTTCATAAAGTTTTCTATAAGTTGTTAATACAATCATTTAGGGAAGTTGATTTTTTGGCTCTTTTTCCTTTTCAACCCCCACCTGCAAATTTTTACAAGTAAGTTTGTTGACCACATTGTCCGATTGTTATGAAAATTGACAAGGAAAAAGAGCCGATTTTTTTTCCAGTTTCCAACCCTGTGTAAAAATAAAACTTAAGGTTATGTAAAAATTGTTCATACGGCAATTGACACGTTTTGTTGCAATCAGGAACATCATTAAAATTAATTTGAAAAAAGTTTTCGTAAAATAAAATTGAAAAAATTTCAAAGGGTTGGGGACTGGAAAAGAGCCGAAGACTTTGTACTTTTTTTTCATTACAACTTAAAATATCAAATGGCGCAAAAAGCATGTGAATGTCTTCTAGTTTCAAAAATGGACTTCAATTTTCCATTTCGTCTCTTTCCCAGTTCCGCATTTTAAATTTTACTGAAATTCAATAATGAAAGTCTATTTAAAATTAATTTTCAAGTTACACACTGCATTAAAACGTGTCAGCGTGAACAAATGAACAAATTTGTTCAACATTTTTGACGTGCGAAATACCGTGTGACAATTTTTGAACAGTTTTTTTTTTCGCTCATTTCCACATTTCAAGTTGGCTGTGAGTTAGAAAATGAAAAACTTGAAGGCCTTTTTCCAGTTTTCCACTCCCTCTTGAAATTACAAAAGAAAGCTGTTCAAAAATTGGGCTCTTTTTTCTTTTCCCCCCACCTGCAAATTTTTATATTTGAAGTTACTGTTCACTTTGTCTGATTGTCATGAAAATTGGCATGTAGACTAAATAGGCCATGACAAACATATTTGGTCTCGATAATTAACCTTATAAAACCACTCGTTAGACCATAAAATTCATGTTTGAGTGAGGTGGGGGGGGGGGGGAGTGGAAAAGAGCCAAAAATTGTTCTCACGGCATTTTGCATGTTCGAACTGTTGTAAAAATTTGTTCGGCTGATCACGCTGACACGTTTTAATGCAGCTTATAACGTCGAATGTCCTTTTAAATGGACTTTCACATAATGAACTTCAGAAAAAATCAAGGGGTAACTGGAAAAAGGGTCTTCAAGTTTGTCATTGTCTTAGTTTACTTATGTGTTATTTTGGCTAAATGCGTGAAGTTGCGATGTAAGGAGCAAATGTGTTCATACTTTAAGGAGCAAATGTGTTCATACTTTAAGGAGCAAATGTGTTCATACTTTAAGGAGCAAATGTGTTCATACTTTAAGGAGCAAATGTGTTCATAATAGTAAGTTTGTTCACCATGCAAACTTTCGTTACATTATCACAGCGTAAAACTAGTGGGGGGAGCGGAAAAGTGACCTTTTGAAAAAGTTTTACGAGGGAGCTGGGAAATTGAAAAATAGCCCCAATTTCCCCGCGGGAAAAAATAGATCGATTGAGCAATCTGTACCCCCGTAATGACCTGTTGGCTCTTTTTCCTCCCCCCCCCCCCCCCCACCTGCAAATTTTTATATTTGAAAATACTGTTCACTTTGTCCGATTGTAGTGAAAATTGACAGGCCGACTAATTAGGCCATAACAAGCATATATGGTCATCATAATTAACCTTGTAAAACCACTCGTTAGACCATAAAATTCATGTTAGAGTGAGGTGGGGGGGGGGGGGAAAGGAAAAAGAGCCGACCTGTTTATCTATCTACACAGAAACAAAAGCGGCAAAACGCAACAACAGACTTTATCAAACAAGCACAAACCAATTGACCAATTGAAGCTTATTGTACCTGAGTGCTGAGAAAAATGTTGTTTGGGTGAAGTTTTGCATGACTCGGGGAAAGCAAGTTATTAGGGTTAGTGTTCTAACTTTGTTTCTGAATACCGGAAATTATTCTCAGCAGCTTCTTTATTGTGCACGCAAATGTGTTTTTTTTTTCATTTAAAACAAGTTTAGCTCTTTTCCAGTTACCCTCTCTTGATATTTTCTGAAATTCAATAGATGAAGGTCTTTCTAAAATGACTTTCCATGTTATAAGCTGCATTAAAACGTGTCAGCGTGAACAGATGAACAAACTCTTACAACATTTATAACATCTAAAATGCCGTAAGAACAATTTTTTAGCAGCTTTTTTTCTGTAATTTTACGAGGGGGTGGGAAACTGGAAAAGAGCCCAAGTCAGCTTTATATGCCTTATTTTTACTAATTTTTCAAACTTATGAGAGAGAGAGAGAACGATTTTTCCCACGTTTCTCCATCCCTATGTAAAGGTGAATTTGAACTGGTGATAAAAAATCAAATTTCCTTTTTCTTGATAGAAATTGATTGAAATCTGCTCACTTGTTTTCACTGACTTGATTTAGTTTTGTTGATAACAATGATAAATTAATTGTTTCGTTAAATTTTTTAACAAGTAAATACTTTAACAGAAAAAGAATTTTGAATAGTTGTGGCAACACTATTTTTCGGCACTATCAAGGAAGCAGAAAAAGACCTTCTACTTGCAATTGATCACTGTGTTTTCCTCAAACTGGGGCTTTTTGTCATTATCTTTTGATATTTTCCAACATCGATTCGCAAAAGCAACTTCAAAGTTTCTTTTTAGGTTGTGAAGTAACAAATTAGGCTCTTTTTCACTTCCCACAATACTTGTTTGCATAGACCCATTGTTATAAAAATTTACAGGCCCAAAAAACAAAGCCATAAAAACTTTATCGGCTATTTTTCCGACCCCCCCCCCCTCCTACGAACTTTCACTTGTCAATTTTTGTTCACAATGTCGTGTTACAAACATTGAATTGGCATGCGGACTAATTAGGTCATGACAAACGCTTTTGGTCTCTATGCCAAAAATAATGAGAACTTCCGTTACAATATAAGAACGATGCTTATGCGTGGTGGTGGGAAAAGGAAAAAGAGTCAATTGCAAAGCCACTCGTTACATCATAAAATTGATGCTCGTGCGAGGTAGAGCCTAATTGGAAAATTCGAACGGAAAATACCTGTAAATATTGCAGGTGGATGGAGGGAGAAAAAAGCCAACGTTGTTTTGCTGTTTCACACGGGATAATAAGTAGAAAAAGCCCAACCTGGGTACACAATGACAAAAAAGGGGGATTGTCTCTTTTCCAGTTTCCAACCCTAAAGCTTGCAAAATGAAAATTGTCTAAAACTTCTTCAAGTTTCATTTGATAAAAACATAGTTTTTGAAACTGAGAGATTTGAATTTTTTCTTTTTCGGGACACTTGATGAAAAGTTTCACCTATTGAAAAAAATTTACTTTTTTCAAAAATTTTTATTATGTTTTCCGATGGAGTAGTATCACAGAAGAGTAGAAAACCCGCTTGCTCTCATGTGTGACTGCATATCTCGTTGTCTTTTTTTACCTTAATTTACTTTCTACAACTGCCGTTCCCAAAAATTCTGTGGCGAAACTATTTGAACCAGTTTTTTATTTGGTTTCGTTTTCTCAAAAACTACGCCAAAAATCTAAAATAATCAGATCAATAAAAAAACGTGTGGTGAGCCCATTTTTTTACACAAAAGCCTATGGCCATTGTAAAACTCAAATTTTGATTTTTTAACCACTTTTTGAAACTTTTGACTGTTTTTCAAAACAACTCTGCCAATCCTGAGAATAAGATTTCCAAGGAACAAGTTTCTGTGAACAAATGGCGATTCCCTCATTTTTTATGAAAATTGTAATGTTCTTGGGAAAAGTCCAATTTTCCACCGTTTTTGTAAGTTGTTCATTTTTTCTCACAAATCACCCTGCCAAATTTCAACTAAAGAGTCCATTCGAAATAAGAGTTTATAATATTCTTAAATATAGGTTGATCTGCGGCTAAAGTTTTAATCCAAAGAGCTGGTTGTGGTAATTTTCTCTGCTGAAGCAGCTACGCCCTAAGTTTTGTAGAAAAACTGCCATGAATGTTGGAAGACCTGGATTTTTTAGTTTTCAGTAGTTTTTTTTTCTCAAAACCTGCCCACCAATTTTATTTTTATAGTTCAATTGAACGAATATGGTGCAAACATTTTCCCATCGTTAACAATTACACCTTTTTTTATCTAGAAAAGTCCTTATAAAAAGTCAATGAAAAGTGAATAGTCTTATGCAAAGTCAATTTTCTTGAAATTATAATCGTTTATCGGTGGAAATTTTTCCACTTTTCCACTGCCAAATTTGACGTTGAGTTCAATAAAATAACAGGTAGCAGGAATTTCCCATAACAAAAGGCTAATCCATTTGGCTCTTTTTCCTTTTCCCCCTACCTGCGAGATTTTTCTAGTAAAGATTCTGTTCACAACGTCTGATCGTTACAAAAACTGGCATGCCGACTAATTAGGCCACGACAAACCCATTTGGTCTTCATACTTAATCATGTAAGACCCCTCATTACACCATAAAATTGATGCTTATGTGAGTGGGGGAGGAAAAAGAACCATCACTTATTTCATCAGAGAAACTATTAAGATTTTGGGTATAGTCCAATTTTCGAAACTTTGAAAATTACGCGTTTCATCTTGCAGCAGTACAACTTATTCTAGAAAAAAGAACAAAATTGACCCCCTAGTAAGTACACAGAAAAATATTAAAAACAGAAGATATTCCCAGAAACACAGAGCAGATAAAATAGTTTTAGCAGATCTGTTTTAAATATGTGTTCACATTGTATGTTTTGCTTATCAGTAAGTTCAGTGTCTGCAAACAAACAAATAAAAATAGTGTTTTGAAAGAGCTTATAACCTTGAGCGCAAAGCTTTGCTGTGTTCTCCGACTGCAAAAGAAAAAGAGACATTGATATGTTTGTTCGCAGCATAGGCTCCGGTGGGCCCTATATGATGTCGGGAGGGGGGAGGATGCCAGGCAGCCCCAATATGTTCGGAGGTGGGGGAGGGGGATCCATGGCCAGTAAGTTCGGCAACTCCCCCATGGGCAGACCACAGTCCGCTCAGATGATGGCCCCGAACTTCGCAGCCAGGTAAATAAATCACACTACCCTGGCTGTCTGCGCCTAAAATCACCTGGAAGCGTATACTGTAACACGAATAATAATAATTTACAAACAAGACCAGCATAAAATCTCATTTTTTGGTAAATTTTCTGGGCTGGGTAATGTTGACTCACCATTGAGCAACGAGCATGGACCATGTTGGGTCTCTAACCACCTGCTTTCCTATTGGCGGACACTTGGTCAATTTACCTCTCCTATTTTGTAGAAGTGATACGCTCCCCTAGTTACACCGAAGACTTTAGTCAAGGTGTTATGGTATCGTGTAACGGGTTTTTTTTTAATGTTGTCTGTTGTCAAGTGTCGACAAATAACGTCCACAGTTATCAATTATCATGTGGGCTGGACTATATCGCGCTATGTCACGTGATTGCGTATGTTTGTTTCTTTATTTGTTCATCTTTATTTATTTAATTATCTGTTCTTCTATTTATTTAATTATGTTTAGTTTGCTTATATTTATTTATAATTTATGTATGTACATATTTATTTTTGTTTATTTTTATCACGTGTTTTGTTTATTCATTTAATTATTCTTTCTTTCATTTAGTTTTGCTTTTATTATTTCTGCGTGTGTATTTATTTAATTTATTTATTTTCATTTATTTATATTATGGGTCTGTTTGTTTGGTTATTTGTTCATATATATTTTTTCATGTCTATTTAATTATTTGTACATTTCACTTTTGCTTTTATTTATTTATTTATTTATTTATTTATGTATTTATTTATGTATTTATTTATTTATTTATGTATTGATTTATTTTTTTATTGCTTATTTATTTATCAGGTGTGTTTTGTTTATTTGTTGATATTTATTTCTATATTTAATTTATTATTCTTTCTTTCATTTAGTTTTGCTTTTATTATTTATGTATGTGTATTTATTTCATTTATTTATTTTCATTTATTCATATTATGGGTCTGTTTGTTTGGTTATTTGTTCATATATATTTTTTCATGTCTATTTAATTATTTGTACATTTCACTTTTGCTTTTATTTATTTATATATTTATTTATTTATGTATTCATTTATGTATTTATTTATTTATTTATGTATTGATTTATTTTTTTATTGTTTATTTATTTATCAGGTGTGTTTTGTTTATTCGTTGATATTTATTGCTATATTTATTTAATTATTTTCTTTCATTTAGTTTTGCTTTTATTTATTATTCATGTATGTATTTATTTATTCATTTATTTATTTATGTTTATTTATTTTTGGTTTGTTCGTTCATTTGATGGTTTGTTCGTTCATTTATTTATTTATTTAGTTAGCGTCTTTGTTGTTTGATTGTGCTATAGAAATTGATCTACAATGCGTAAGTACGACATTTAGTTCTACGATTGTTATTTCAGGTCCTTTGTCAATATTTCAGGCTCTTTGTTAATATAGCAAAATTTTGGTGTATATATGTGTTAGTAAGATTTTTAGTTCTACAACGTTTATTCAGGCTCTTTGTCGATATAGCAAAATATTGGTGTATACATGTGTTAGTACGATTTTAGCTCTAGAATTGTTATTTCAGGCTCTTCGTCAATATAGCAATATTTTAGCGTATACATGTGTTAGTACCATTTTTAGTTCTCGAACTGTTATTTTATGATCTATGTCAATATATCAAAATTTTAGTGTATACATGTGTTATTACGATTTTTAGTTCTCGAACTGTTATTTCATGATCTTTGTCAATATATCAAAATTTTATTGTATACATGTGTTAGTACCATTTTTAGTTCTCGAACTTTTATTCCATGATCTTTGTCAATATAGCAAAATTTTGGTGTATACATGTGTTAGTACGATTTTTAGCTCTAGAACTGTTATTCCATGATCTTTGTCAATATAGCAAAAATTTGACATATACATGTGTTAGTACGACTTTTAGCTCTCGAACTGTTATTTCATGATCTTTGCCAATATAGCAAAATTTTGGTGTATACATGTGTTCGTACGATTTTTAGCTCACGAACTGTTATTTCAGGCTCTTTGTCAATATAGTAAAATTTTGGTGTATACATGTGTTAGTACGATTTTTAGTTCTAGAAGTGTTATTTTATGATCTTCGTTGATATATCAAAAATTTAACCTATACATGTGTTAGTACGATTTTTAGTTCTAGAACTGTTATTTCAGGCTCTTTCTCGATATAGCAAAATTTTGGTGTATACATGTATTAGTACGATTTTTTGTTCTAGAACTGTTATTCTTCAATTATTAGTTGTTCAAGTTGTTTGGTTTTTGCTTCAGTTTCTATGCCTTCGGTGTATTGCGCGTAGCGCCTATGTTATAAATAGTGTAAAATGGAATTTGCAGATTTTGGTCCGCACAAATCTCTACTCTGTGTTTCACCAAATTCAAGGAAGTGTGAGGGGCTTCATATTTAGATGTCAATCAATTTAGTTGCTATCAATTATTTTTTATATCCCTGAGAGTTCTCATATTATAATTAAGTGTGAATTTGGTACCTGCCTGTCAATCAGTCTAGGTCTGTCTAGCTGCTATGTGTTGACCTCCAGTTCAGTGTCTTATTTATGCGAACTAGAAATCAGTTGAATTTATTCTTCACCGTATCGTTTTGACTTTCCCTTGTTATGGCGCAGTCAGCGGACGGAGGGGGAAAAACCCCGTTGGAATCGTGGCATTCTGGCCTCCGAATCAGGCGGAACCACAACTTTTATGGGAGCATTGGAAACAGAGATTTCATTGGGCAATGGTGGCGAAACACGGATTAGTCTCGTCCGAATTTTACTTTGCGTCAACATTAACCGAAGCGCAGATTAATGACCTGGGAGAAATTGGTGGTTAACCAAGGGAAGAAGGTGAAAGCACACTTATATCGAATCTGTATCTATGTCTGGGACACGAGGGACAGCGGACCTGGCATAATCAGCATCCACACTTGAATATGGAAAAAATACGATACCCAAGTATTTGGATACATGTGTAGCTTTTTGGATACATGTGTAGCTCTTTTCCAGAAAGAGCGAAATGAGACGTTTAAGATGTACCAGCTGTTGTCCCGGAAACAAAAAAGGGAGAAGGTTTAGAATCGTTCTACGCAGAACTCAGCGGAATGGCGGCGAGATGCAATCTGGGTACCCAAGAGCGGAAAATGGCGAGAGGCATATTTATGTTTAATATGCGGAACAGGGACGCGCAGAACGAGCTGTCCCGGGAAACGAAAACCCCGGAGGAAGCACTAAGGATCGCAATGTCGTATGAAAGAGCCGACAAATACGCAAAGTCTTACAAGGGCATTGCGTCAGGCTCCACGGGACCGGCCTATCCATCTCCAGGGGTTCTCTACAGATCAAAACTAAAAACGGAACCAATCAGCAATATTCGTGGATCCAGGGGACGAGGAATGCCAAGGGGACGGGGCCAATACCAAAATTGGGGAGGAGGTCGAACGCAAGACCGAAGATGTTACAACTGCGATCAACCGAATTTCACCCCAGAACACCGACAACGATGCCCAGCAAGAGCCGTCACATGCAATTTCTGCAAAAAGGGTGGGCACTTTGAAAGGACTTGTCGGAGAAAACGGCTGTCACGGGGGGACAACCAGTTGGACTAATCCAAGGGGACGAACCACTTGAGGAAGAAGATACTCCCTCGGATGACGTGGGGTCACCAGTTGCGGCAACTTCAATAGGTTTTGTCAAAAGAGAACACCACAGCTGGTCATCGGAGAGTTCAGATGACTACATGGTTATGGCAATTAGACGTAAGAAAGAGACACTATTGAAAGTCACCGGACCTAAACTTAAAATTTACATTAATGGACACCCGATGAACATCTGGATCGACAGCAGATCGCCGATATTCATATTAACACTTGATGACTTGAAGAAGACAGTGGGAAGAGCTGGAATCAACTTGAAACAAGATGACATTGAAGATGACGAATTCCGGGACTACAGCAACAACCGGATCAAGATGTTGGGAAGAATGGGGCTTGAGCTAGCATCCAACGGCTGGAAGACAAAGGCAGAAGTTCGAGTTCTTGGAGGGACCAGACCCTCAATCGTGGGACGTGACATGATGGGGAAACTCGGACTCCAGTTGATGCAGGCAGATCCAAGGGGGGCAGTGATGAACATCCAAGGGGCGGATGACAGTTCATGTGAGAAGGAGCAAGTTGGAGAATCGGAGGATGAGCAAATGGACCCGTGGCAACAGTACTTTAGCAAGCTATTCCCAAAGTTTTTTACTAGGATCGGGAAAATTAGAAACTACAAGGTCCAAGCGGAATTTTTCAAAAATCTCGTACGAGTGCAGCAGAAGGGCCGGAGAGTGCCGGTAACGCTCCAAGAAAAAGCAGATAAAGAAATCTATAAGCTACTAACCCAGGGACATATAGAAAAATTGAAGGAATGTTCGGATTGATACTTTTTTTCTCCGATCGTCATCACCGTAGAAAAAGACGGGTCCGTGAAATTAGCGATGGAATCTCGAGAACTCAATAAACAGGTTCATAAAAACATGTATCAGATGCCAAACATAGAAGAACTTGTAGATACAATGGGACAATTTATTTCCGAGAAAAAACAAGGGGAGGTGTATTTTACCACGATGGATCTAACGTACGCGTATGGACAACTACCTCTTAGTGAGGAAACAAGCGTACAATGTAATTTTTCCTTGGTGGGTGGGCGGTCGTCAGGAACATACGGAATTCGGACAGGATTTTACGGGCTAACGTCGATGCCAGCAGAGTTCCAACGGGTAATGGACTCAATTTTGAACGAATTCCACCAAGCGAACGCTTTTATTGATGATATTTTGGTTATCACCAAGGGAACTGAAGTGGAACACATCTCCTTGGTTGAAAAGATTCTCAGAAAATTGAATCGCGAAAACATCTCGTTGAAATTACCTAAGTGCGAGTTTGCGAAGCGAGAATGCGAGTGGCTCGGCCATCGTATAACAGAAACAGGAGTAACTCCTCTAAAGCGCAAG